CTTTCCCAATTTTGAACCAATCAGTTGTTCCATATCCAGTTCTAACTGTTGCTTCCTGTCCCACATATAGGTTTCTCAGGAGATAGATAAGGTGGTCAGGCACTCCCATTTCTTTAAGAACTTGCCATAGTTTGCTGTGGTCGACACAGTCAAAGGCTTTTGCATAGTCAATGAAGCAGAAATAGATATTTTTCTGGAATTCTCTGGCTTTCTCCATAATCCAGCGCATGTTAGCAATTTGGTCTCTAGTTCCTCTGCCCCTAGTTCCGTGGTAGTTAGTCTTTACTTTGAGGAAGAGCCTCTTGGTTGGATAGAAAAGACCACCAGTTTGTTTTCCTCAGCTCCTAGCCCACCCCTCTGTGGTCAACAAACAACAGGTTTCTGGTACAGCTTCTGTTTGAGCTGTCGTGCCACAGTGTGAATTTTATTTCAGCTTCCTCATCCAATCCTCTGGCCACTGTTGGGTTTTCCAAACTTGCTGACATATTGAATGTAGCACCTTAACAGCATCATCTTTCAAGATTTTAAATAGTTCAACTGGAATGCCATCACCTCCACTGGCCTTGTTGTTAGCCAGGCTTTCAAGGGCATCTTACTTTAATGAATATACACAAAACACCACATAAACTTTCTAACTCTTTCGTTTCAAACAGCACTCTGGTCTTACTTAATACCCTTTGTCTATTACTCGTTAAAAGTGACCTTTCAGGACTAACAACCAGGGTGAATAAAAACCAATGCTTTGTTTTAACAGCACACACACAATTTAAATCAATATTTAAATTTTAAAAATCAAATTTTAAAATTTAAATCATAAAAACAACAAAACACCAACAGCCCAAATACCCACCAATTTTTAAACTTTAAAATGTCAGTTAAACTGATTTAATTTAAATCAAATCCACCCTGCTGCCAACTAGCCTGTGCTTCATGTGTCAATCTCTGAGATGGGGCTGGCAGACATAAGCACCAGGGCTGCCTCTCCCATGTTGAGAAGTGCTTCCCCAGGGCAACTTACACTGGGGGCTCTGAAAAGCCAGTAATTACATATTGTTTGTGATTTCAGCCAGAAATTACAAGACTTTTTCTTGCAAATCAAATGTTATTGTCTCTGCCTGAACTTTACCTTCTCAAAGCACCACCAAGGACAGGGTGTTATTTAGGTTAAAAGTTGGCAACCTTAATAGAATGTCAGAGAGACACTCTTAGCACAATGGAAATACTCTCATAGAAAAACTGCATGTAACTGAAAAACCTCTACCACACACCACTAGTAACATTAGGCTGCTTCCATCAACTATTTAAGCTTCTAAGCACAGCAATGATTAAACTACAGTGGTGCCCTGCATAATGGGCGCCCCGTTTAACGACGAATCCACATAGCGATGTCTTTTTTGCGATCGTTTTTGCGAACGCATTGCGATGTTTTAAATGGTAAAACATCGCTTTGCGATGATCGGTAAGCTGTTTTGCTTACCGATTTTTGCATAGCGATATTTTCTTAACAGCTGATCGGCTGTTCCAAAATGGCCTCCGGAAAAAATGGCCACCTGCAGTGTTTCGCGCCCATTCCTCGCCTACCGGGCAGCGAAAATTGTGGCCGTATGGAGGATTTTCGCAAAACCGTGAGTTTTTTGCCCATAGGAAACATGCTTTAATGCATTCCTATGCGCTTGTTTTATGCACAGCGACGAATCCATATAGTGATGTTTTTCTGGAACGGAATATCGTCGCTATGCGGGGCACTGCTGTATTCAATTCAGGATTCTGGAGAGGTCGCAATTCATATTGCCAAGGACACACATTTATGGTATTATGTCAGCTGAGGGGGAAAACTAGTCAGTCAGCAGTACCAGAATTTACTGCAAAGACAGCCTCATGTAAGTTGTGTCCATACAACAGAACCAAACAAGTCAGGCATGCTTCACATATACAACACAGCCCTTTCTACCTCTGTTCTGCCTCTAAAACACTCCTAAATATAAATGTCTTGTACTGGTTTTTCAGTGACTACAACTGCAATACTAACTAGCAAGCACTCAACTCATAAGCTGCAGGCTTGGTTAGCACATGGCCAACAACTCAGAGAGCACAGAGCAAACCATTTGAAGCCAGACTTACTGCAAAGCCACACTGCGCTGGTTCTACATTGCCAATTGTATCAAAATTCAAGAAGAACATATAGATGAAAAAAAACTCTTCTTGCTAATACAGGGTATCCATAAAATACAACTTCCTGCTGACAGTTCAGACCCAAGTTTTGGCAACCAGCCTCTGTCATGCCTCTACCAGTTAAAACCTGCAAGGCTGTTTTCTTCACATTTATTATTATTAATAATTATAACAAAAATAAAACCTAGAAACTTGTGTCAACAAAATACCTACCATTCCTGTAACCTAGATGAGCAACTTCATCAGCCACACAGCAATTGCTGTTATCTGACAAAAACCATTTAGCATAAAATTGCTTTCTGGAACTGTCTTATCACCCAAGAGCACCAAACACATACTTATCCTTGGCAACAAGACAAAGGTACTTTTACCAAGAAAATATGCCTTGGGAGATTTAAGTAACGGAAACATGGGCTCTAATTAGCTATAAAGTGCATTAAAACTGCTGAATTCATGACCTCTCATTCTCCTCCAATTTGAAGTCTACAGAGAGATTATCATAACAATATAGGCTAATATAATAAAACTGGCTAAAATAAACCTGTCCTTATACAAAGATGTATCCTAATAAAGAACTGTACTGTATGCAAAATACCTAAAAGAAAAACAGACCAGCTGAGACCTCTTTCCCTTCCTGAGTCCAAAAAAAGTCTGAAAAAATCACTAAACTGTAGTACTGCCTCCTATGACAAACTGCTATGCTCTTATAACATGCAGTAGTGCCTCGCTTAGCGATGTTAATCCGTGCAGAAAAAATCACTGCTAAGCGATAACATTGCTAAGCACAGATAAAAAGCCCATAGAAACGCATTAAACCGCGATTAATGCGTTCATATGGGCTAAAAACTCACCTTTAAGCGAAGATCCTCCATAGCGCCGCCATTTTCGGTGCCTCTAAAGTGAGGTATCTGTGCCTGAAAAAAGTGGGCAGCCATTTTGTTTACCTGGCGGCCATTTTGAAACCACCAATCAGCTGGCTGAAAATGGGGGCTTTGCGATGATCGCTTGCCTGCAATCATTGCAAAGTGAATTTCCCCCATAGGGACCATCGCAAAGCGATCACTTTTGCAATGGCAAAAAGTCCATCGCAAAGCGATTTCGTCGCTATATGGAGCGATCGCTATGCGAGGCACCACTGTAAATCAATAAATGTAACCATAAACTAAAACCTTGTTGTCTTTTATTTAGAAAACTACACAGGAAACAGCCGCTTACATGCGCAAAATAAGTGGGAAGCTCAGTTGTGTAAACAGATGTTTCCAAAACTCTGTTAAGAAAGAGAAAGTAATCTTAATGTCACCAGACCCAGATAAAATCCTGAGCTGGTTCAATCTCTTTCTAATGCTCCAGGTTGGTACTAAAAAGGAAACTCACCCAGATTTACACCCAACTTACATGATTGTTGTTGTTTTTTTGGGGGGCTACACTCAAGATATTTGTACTACTGTTGGGAGACAAAGAATATAGCCTCTCCCCCCCATGAGAGCAAATTTATAAGTAGCACTTCTAACACAAATATATTGACAAAGCAAACTGTGGAAATACAGCAAACCTGTTTGGTTTGGGTACAATATTAAAGTGACACTCTGTCATAATAGATACTTAGGTATGCATTCCTTCATTGCACCCAAGTCTAGCATGAACTATTCATTGGAGTCCAGACTTTGGCCCACACTATCTAAGCAGATACAAACAGTACTCCTTTATTCAGGTATCTTCACACCTTGATTCAGAGGGAAAGATGTGATAGTACTTCTTTCTCCCAATTTCTTAAGAACCCCTAAATACCCATATCCATCATATTGCAGGTCAAAGCATTTCAAACTTTGCTGGCCATGCAAAGGAAAGTCAAAAGGAAAACATGAAATATTAATGGACTCTCTCCTGACCCTCCAGAAATCAAGCAGCCCAAGGAACAAGGAAATCAAGGAAAGTCCAATTCCTTGCCCAAGTCAAACAAGTAACCCAACTGTAAAAGGTAAAGAATTAAGAAGTCAATATATTCTAATAACCAGCATTTGCTAGCTATCTCCCACCATAGGAGACTATAACTTCAAACCTTATCTCCTAGAAAACATAAGAAATTGACATCTTTCATGTTCTTTTGGGTGGGTGGTACGGAGATGTATTGAATAAAACAAAAAAACTGCAGAGGCAGACCTATTCAAACGACAGGAAACAGCCACACACATAAAAAAGGAACAAAGACCAGAACCACTATTTTAATCCAACAAGTATGTTGTGGCACAATCTCTAAAAGCAAAATAGCTGCTTTATATAAGACCAGACATACAAAGTAAGCATAATACAGAGCAATGGTTTTTAGAATGCCTGCACAAAGAAAATGTTTTCTATCTTGACTTCCCTTTGAAATAACTGCAGAAAAGGATGCTAAAACATGCCTCAGGTTTCTGCCTTGCCCTTCTGCTGGGCAAGTATTCTATCTTCCCTTCAAGCACAACTGGAATTTGTAAAAATATCTGTCATTTGCTAGCAAGAAAGGCTTCATGGGTTTAGAGTGATAAGCTCATAATATATATCACTGAATGGGTAGGACATGTATGTCACAGAAAGAATGGCTTTCTCAAAGAGACAGGTCAGGACTGGCCCTTTTGTATTTCCAAAAAGTGTTTCAGACAGAAATACAATATTTACATAAACACCATATTCCCCAGAATAACTGTACTGGAAACACTTCACCTCTTTTCCTTACAAGTTGAAACAATGTGCAAGCTGCCACCCACCCACCCCCATTTATATCCCAATTTAAACTTTGATAGTGTTGTTTTGGGTTTTTCGGGCTCTTTGGCCGTGTTCTGAAGGTTGTTCTTCCTAACGTTTTGCCAGTCTCTATGGCCAGCATATTCAGAGGACAGCCACAGGTTGCTGATCCCGTCCATGAAAGCCTTCGCGAATATATCTTACAGATTGCTAGGGAGAAAATTACATTTCTCC